AACAAGACTTCCGATTCCCTGGAAGAGGCGCAGCTAAGACTGGCAGACATCAAAGAAGTGGCCGGAATACCGGAGGACGTCAACGACGACATCGTACCGGTAACGAAGCGCCGGCGCGGCGCCGGCGAGGGAGTGTGGAGGGAGCTTTTCGTGTCCCCCACTTTGGCCGTCCGTCACATATTACTCACCGGATTGGGCATCCATTTCTTCCAACAAGCCACCGGTATCGACACCATCGTTCTGTACAGTCCGAGGATCTTCGAAAAGGCCGGCATAACGTCCGACCACAAGAAACTGCTGTGCACGGTGGCGGTCGGGTTCGTGAAAACGTTGTTCATATTGATCGCCACGTTCACACTTGACCGGTTCGGGCGGCGGAAGTTACTCTTATCCAGCGTCGGCGGCATGATCGCGTCGATGCTGCTACTTGCCATCGCGTTGACCATCATTGACCACTCGGATCACAAGGTCCCGTGGGCGGTGACACTGAGCATCGCCATGGTTTTAGCCTACGTGGCGTTCTTCTCCATCGGAATGGGGCCCATTACCTGGGTGTACAGCTCGGAGATATTCCCGTTGAGGCTCCGAGCCACGGGTTGCAGTATGGGAGTGGCGGCGAACCGCGTCACGAGTGGGGTGGTGTCAATGACGTTTTTGTCCCTGTACAAAGCTATCACCATCGGCGGCGCGTTCTTCATGTACACCGGAATTGCGGTGGTGGCGTTTATCTTCTTCTTCACTTTGATGCCAGAGACGAGAGGGAAAACACTGGAAGAAATGGAGACATTGTTTGGGACATTCTTCAAGTGGAGGTCAACGTTGAGAGAGATAGAAGCAAAGAAGCAGAAGATGACTACTAATCAACTTCAAATGTCATCCACATATACTAAATAGCTACCAAGATTTACATTCAGTTTGGTCAAATCAATGTTAAGTGCAACAATATTAGCACCCAAATTAAATATATATCCATAGTTAATTTTTGAATCCCGCAATCACTCATAGGATTTCACAGTCAAATTCCACCTTGTAATCCTAATTGGCAAATGATCACAAAGATGTATATCAGGAAATTGTCTTTGTCTATCAAAGAACTTTTTAGCCCCAAGGGACATGCAAGTTGGTGTGCTCCTCATGTTGACTAAATGGTGGAAGAAAAAAGATGTTTGTCATACTTTATTGTTCTCAAAAAGTTGAATCTCAAATTCCAAGGGTCCCCGTACCGGCTTGACAGAGCATTCGAGGGATGTAAATCATGATAACTCAACTGAACACGCTTTTATTTACGGATTTGCTCACACAGTGACACCCGATCTCGAGTCATTGTTTATAAATTTCACCCATATGACCAATTGACCTGTCCATTCGAATATGTTTGTAATATTCTAGTCCATAGGGACATGCAACTTGATCAACTCCTCATATTAACTAACATATATAAAAGCTTTCTTTGTGGGCCTAGCTTAATGCCAGATCTTTGCTCGTACTTTTCATAAAAGAGATCTCCAGTCTAAGATTAAAATATTGACTACCCGTACCTAACCCATCAGGACAGGTTTGTATGGCCCTCATGCATGGTTGTTTGGGAGCATTTTGATCCAACAGGAGTTGCAAGTTGATATACTCCGATCCTGCATTCATTTGATAAAGAAAGAGTTTTGTCACCTTATAGCGCAGCAATGCTACAAAATCATTGTGGAAAATATATATAATTCACATCATATCAACAGTACATATTTTAAAAGAAGTGACTACAATTCAATCTCTCCGACAATAGAAAGTCTGGGTACACCAAAAAACAGTACGTATTTTTGAAATTTGACAATAAATAGTTAAAAGAATATAGTAACAGATTGAAATATATATATATATATATATATATATATATATATATATAGAGGAATACAGATGAGAGATAAAGATAGAGTTGATGAAGTTTGTTCCCAGAGGACTTCTCAAATCAAATTCTCATCAGAGTTGATGAGTCGTGACCACAGCCTAATGTACCAACCTCCCGGTCAACATAGATTTTTATCATTTTTTTTTCTTCCATACTGTTCATTCATAATTATTCATAAATAAATATAGTTTCATTTTACTTATATATATAAAGGCAATTAATACAAACTATAAGAGCAATCTCAATATTAGGTTTTTTTTTTCTTAGATTTTTTAGCCAAATAGGATAGAGTAGGATGAGGAAAATAAATAAAGGAATAAGGTTCAAATTGGCCACTGAACGTAACCTGAAAATACAATTAAGACACTGAACGAAAAAAAAAAAAAAGGTGCAATTAGACCACTGAACACTCCAAAAACGTGAAATTAGGCAACTGAACTCTCCAAACGTATGCAATTTCACCGGATAGCAAGTTACCATCAATTTTAGCAGGTTACCTGCTTACGTGGCAGCTGAGTTGGCATTTTAAATAATTTTTAATAATTAATTTTAATAATAAATTTTATAAAAAAATTGAAAATAATTAAATAAAAAATAAAATAAAGTCATTTTTATTTTATTTTTTAATTTTTTTAATAAAAATTTATTAAAAATCATTTAAAAGTTATTAAAAATGTCAACTCAACTGCCATGTAAGCAGATAATCTGCTAAAATTGAGGGTAACCTGCTATCCGGTGAAATTGCACATTTTTGGAGTGTTCAGTGACCTAATTGCACTTTTTTTTCGTTCAGTGGCCTAATTGCATTTTCAGGTTACGTTCAGTGGCCAATTTGAACCTTATTCCATAAATAAATAAGAAAAAAAAAAGATAACAGAGAAAATTTATATATATATATATATATATATATATATATATATATATATATATATATATAAGCGCCCCTGGTATGCAATGGCGTGTGGACAGAGACGTTTTCTTTTCAGTAAGACAAGCCCGAATTTATGAAATTATTATTCTCAAATGATGATGAATTCTTAAGGGATTGATCTTGTAGGGATTGTATTCAAATGGATTTTGTTCAAATATATGCTTTTAGATTTGATCTCACAGTTGAATATACACTTTATTAAATAGAAATAGAAGGATCGGAATTCATCATCAATCACTTAAGATCAATCTACTACTCAAGTTGTGAATACGCGGGCCACTATACCTTACATTGAATGGGCAACGAAGAAGGTCCAGTCCTCTAAGGACCGCACCCGAAATCTACTAGTCAAGGATGTCCACAAATAAATTCAATATAGAAAATGTTGGGAAAAATCAATATAATCTTGATGAAAATAATAAAATAATGTTCTACTCAGCATCCCTTTGTACTTTGTAGTCTAAATTATTAGTGTAGGAAATGGATGCAAACTTTGAAAAAACTCTCAAACAAAACTTCCGATCCACCTCTAAAGAGAACAAACTATATATTATATATACACTCCACTAAAGTTTATGGAGTTAATTATTGACTTCACCACAAGTATCAATATTGTATTTATTCATATAAATTCTTAAGTTCAAATTATTGAACATTTTAGTTGTGCTAACACATTTATGAAAATGTTGTAACAATATTAAGAAATTTATTAGAACAAAAGCATTTAACTTGTGGTGCACTGTCATTTAATAAATTAGTGATTAATAAAGTATTTAGTTTCTTCAAAATTGAATAATGGGTCATTTTCGTTTGTAAGGCTTTCAAATGTATGAATTTAGACTTTTGATTTATTGTCTAAGTTATTGAAATGCTTCTGTGACTTGACTATCTTTTGGCTATTTTTATAAGTTAGAGTCACAGATATGTCAACTCCAAACTCTTAACCATTAGTAATTTTTAGGACTAATTAGACATGACATCGTGAAGTTCGGGTACAAAATAGAGTTGAAAAAGAGATGGAGTTAAAAAAAATAAAATATTAAAACAGAGAAAAAAGTATACAATGGGTGTGTAGTGCACACACGCCCATTGAGTGTAGTAGCTAAAATGCAATAGTGGTGAGATATTAATAGGTGTGTCTTTCTAAAGACCTCTCTAGAAATGATTAGACATATGAAGGCTCGACTCGTTCTCTTTGCTTGACCATTAAAAGGTAGGTTGGTGTTAATTTAACAATGAAATGGCTAAAAAAAATAAGGTAAGAATCTCACACAAGGAAGCTCAAAAAAGAACTCAAAAGCTTTGTAAAGAACTTGGATTACTTAATCTTAACTTGCTTGGATTGATTTCAAATGAGACCCCCTTGAGGGGTATTTATACCCATTACACCCCCTCAACGGATGATGGAGATCTATGTGATCCTATGGCTAAAATTTATTCTCTAGAATCTTCCAAGAAACACTACACAACCAAGAGGATTCCCTAATGTTCTAAAATATACTATATATCTCTACCACCCCTAGTGTTATGTATATGCTTCTAGAATATTCTACCAACTATGAGATGCTAATGTAGCAAACCAGAAATGTGTAGCAAAGTACCCCGCGTGGGTCGGAGATAATGATATGTACAAGTGCTAGAATAGTTCAGAAACATGTAGCAAATCAAAAATGTGTAGCAAAGTACCCCGCACGTTACACTAAAGTCATGATATATACGAGAACAATGTCGGGTCTGAGATACATTACACTGAGGACCAAATAGGGTGGGTTTACATTGCATCATCGATCGATTAATGAAAAAAGTCGAGTAGGTCGGTCAATGAACGAAGAAGGTCGGGTGATCCGGAATGCATTACATTAAGGGGCTGGCCAGGGTGGGTTTACATTGCATCAACCGATCAATCAATAAAGAAAATCGAGTTGGGATACATTGAGGGCCAGCCAGGGTGGATCTACCTTAGCTTGCATCAGTGAAGCCTAAGGTCAAGATGTATAGGGGATAAGAATACATTACATTGAGAACAGTACAAACTATATATAAAATAATTAATTAAAACTTGGTTCGCATGCAATAATAGGAATGAAGAAACAAATTTAGGGCTAATTATTACTAGCTACTAGATATTAAAGAGAACTGTTTCATTCATATATAGAATGGCATGGATCTCTTAGCTTAACTTGCAGCACAGCAACTAACGAATTGAATCATTTTCAAGAACGCATAGTGTACTCAGCAGGCCGGCCGGCATGACATAATGCATCGATCTCCAGCCAATTAATCCAACCAAAACGAAATGATGAAAGAAATTAAAATTAAAACAAATTAAAGCTAGCCATATATCTCGATCATCTGCTCCTTCAATCCCATTATATTTCTGAATTATTAATTAACTAACGATCAAAAGGACCGCTGGGATCAAGCTGTTTGCACAAACTGAGGTACGTGAGATACAGCACCCTATCCTTAGCACCCGTCCTATGATGTCTGGTGTGTTTGCAGAAATACCTGAGTTGATTCAGAGTGCAACACCCCAGCATCTGCCCTAGTAGCAAAAACAGCCAATTTATGGCTTTCTTGCTCCGAGGAATCACCGGTTTCGCGCTGTTCTCTTGCCCGCAGTACCGGCAGGTCGGAAGGCTCGGATTCATCCAAACCTCCGGCGCCCGGTCCGCCATTTCGCCTCTGTTTTCCCATACAAACTTCGCCACCTCAGAGAACTTCTTAATCAGATCGAACCCCATTTCGTACCGGCTCTCACACCGCCTGCACTGCACCTCTCCCTTGATCTCATGGATCTTCTTGAAGTCCAGGTAGTGTAGGGTATGCACCGTGGCACGCCGGTTCGTGGCCCACTCGTATGGCGGCGTGATCGTCTCGCTCTTACCCTTCTTCAGCCGCAGCGAGGGCGATGATGAGTTCTTCTTCCGCGGTTTCGTGGAAGAAGACTGACGGGGTTGGTATCTTCTCGCCGGTGCCGGTGCCGGAGCAGCAGCCACGAGAGGCGGCAGGGCAGCCGCGGAGAACTCCGGCGGCGGAAGAGACAAACTTTGCCGCTGCAAACCGCCGCGTGGCGGTGGGAGATGTTCCAATGATGATGATGGTGGGAGAGTTGCAATGTGAAACGGAGATAGAGAACCCAATGAAAGATCGCCGATTATGCTATTATATAATGCATTAGGATTCCAACCAAGATGAAAAGAAGAATCAGAATTAGAATCAGAAGGGTTTGTCGGCGGCTTGTTCATGGTGTATTATATTTAGTTAGAAACTAAGAGATGAAACATAGATATATATATAAGTAAACAAATTAGCGATTTTTAACGTTAGAGATAGACATGACATCGTGAAGTTCGTTCGTACAAGACTTCCACTCAAATCTAATTCGCTACGTGCATGAGGCGGTTTCATCAGACGTGTCCATTTTCAATAACAACCTCTCATTCTTAATGTAAGCTAAGGACCAGGGACCGCTACCTCAATATTTTATTAAAACAAAATTTACCACAATTTGTCCTAAGGTTAACCTAAGTTTGTTAATCAATAATTATCCTTAAATTAATTAATTAAAGACTATTTTTTGTATGAATTATTACAAATAGCTTTTTTGTCTGTATTTTTTTTTTATGTGGTGAGGAGAGAATAGAGGGGAGAGTGTGCTAGCTAGGGTTTATTTAGGGCTCATTTCGAGCACGGGTAGGTGTATGGCCGAAGGAAAATTTTTTGATGTGGTCACAAACTTGTATTGCAACCTTCCAAACTGGACCAACAAAAATTCAAGACATTTTTTCCCACAAATATTACATGCTTTAAGGCAATTAATATAAAGTATGCACCATATATCCTCTAAAATACAAGTAGCATTATATATATATATATATATATATATATATATATATATATATATATATATATATAGAATAAAGTTCAAATGCGGCGGGGTCTTCTCGTGCGGCGGAATTCCAGAATACACCAACAGTGTTAACAATATGCACTAACAGTGTAATAAAAGCACACCACAATGAAATGTAATAAAACATCACAAAATACACAACGGACTCAAAAAAATATACCATATAACTCACCACCCCCAATGGTGTATTTCCGAAAAGTGTATGGTGTTTTTACTCACACCTAATGGTGTGTGTTTGGTGATGCAGGGCTCTGTTTACCCTGTTTTGTGTGGTGTATTTTCCTAACGTTTGATTGTGCATATTTGTTGAACTATTGGTGTTGTCGCACCGTAAGAAATCGTCGCGCAGTAAGACACTGCCGCACCTGAACCCGCCTATATATATATATATATATATATATATATATATATATATATATATATATATATATATATCTTAATTTTATTATATTTAACGTGTCAATTGTTCGTCACGCATTGAGTAACCTTAGTAAGTGGACTTAGCTTGAACAATTTTTATATGATAATGTATATTTATGGTTAAAACTTATGAGGGTGTTGGCAGATTTATCATCACCTTGAAATTTTTTACTAACGAGTCGTTTATCAATCAGGATTACAAAACAAACTTCGTCTTATGCGTATTTTTAAATAACGGTTACAAAAAATTTTATAAATCAAAGTTTAACAAACACATTATCAAACCATTATCAAGTTAATGTAGGTTAAATTGCTAATTTTGACAATAGCTTAAAGATTAATTATTAGTAACATTATGTTAAATCATAAACCATATAGGGAAAATGGCACTTTTTCCCCCTAAATTATATACTTATAGCACTTCTTCCCCCTCAATTATTTATGTAAGCACATTAGCCCCCTTAATTATTTTAAAAGTGGTGGTTTTTCCCCCAAATATATTAAATTGACATTTCTACCCTTAAAACAAACATTTTATTTATTTCACTTCAACAAATTATTGCGTATATGTAGCGATTACCACGGTTCGGTTCGAACTGAACCAGACACTATAGCAATCGAATTAAAATTTTTCAGTTATGATTCAGATCTAGAACCCAATATTTGGATTTTAATTTATTAAATTTAAGAAAAAAAAATTGGATCATGAACCGTGAACCGGCGGTTCCGAATCCAGTTCGCGATTTTGAACCGTCTTTATTTTAAAATTTTATTTTAAAATAGTTAAATTCAACAATAAATGTATTTTATTTTTTCAGTTCGGAACATGAATCAGTCATTTCGGTTCGCGATTTTAATAAACTCTAAATATCGCATTTTGATTATAAATTGTAATTGGAATATTTTGGTTTGGTTGCTATAGTATCTGTTTGGTTTGAACCAAATTATAGTAATAATTTGTTGGAAAATAAAAATAAATGAAATATTAATTTTAAATATTTATTTTAAGGGTAAATATGTCCATTTAACATTTTAGGGGGAAAAAGAGCCACTTAAATAATTCAGGAGGAAAAAGTGTTATAAGTATATAGCTTAGGGGGAAAAAGTGCCATTTTCCCAACCATATAATTATCTTTCACATTTTAAGAGAAAGAACCAAAAAATATAGAGAGAGAGGCCGTAAGGATCTGTTACCATATGTTGACACCGTTCGGAGAAACTTTCTCCTACGTATGCGCAACACAAAATATCTGAAATCTCAATCTTCATTATCTTCTTGAGTTGATAGAATATCTGAAATCTGAAATCCACATTCCAGTCAATTCTTACTTTTTGATCAAATAGACATCACCCTACGGCCGAGCAGAACTGCGTAGGCTACGCCCGGTCACCGGTGTACTTCACCCTCCACCCGGCCACTCGATCAACTGGTCAGCACCCGCTTAATTGGTTCAGTAGTCGGTCAGGGCAAAATCGGTGACCGGAGGAGTACACGACTCATCTCTACCAGATTGTGGACCCTGCCCTGCATGTTACTGAGTACTGACAGAAGTTTCAGGCCATGTGTTTGGCTGCATGCCTGCCTTCGTAAGACCCGGTGCATGGACGCCAGGAGCCCGCCATGCCGGAAGACCGGGCACTACTCCCTAGGCCCTCTATAAATACTTCATTAAAAGATGACTTTTCAACTACTAGAAACACTGTAATTAAGAGATTCCCGGTTAGGCTATCAGATGGGTGAGCCTGCTATTGTACTGTACACAATTAGGGTGATTTAATCTACATCACACTTGATAGCACTTGATCGCCTTTTGAACAATTCCAAGTTAAAGTAGATAATTGAAAGTAATTCAAGCAAGTAGATAATTAAGATTTTAATATACACAATATGATAATATTACACAAAATAAAGTGAGGGTGTGTTTGGTTCGCACATAGGAATCGAAATGGGTATCAAATTGGTAATGGTAATGGGTTTTGGTGAAAATATTTAACATGTTTGGTAGTAGGGTGGAATGAGAATGGTTACTAATAGTAGTGCTTAAGAATGAATAAGGGAATGAAACCCTTATTGTATTTGGGTATGAATTTTTCAATTGATGGGGTATTCGAAACCATAGTAGTGTTCTAAATACAGTTTGCTTCACAATACAGTTTTAAGTTTTAATTAAGGCAAAGGAAGCCAAACAAGATTATCCACCGGGAAGAAGTGGCAGACCGGAGAGGCGCCGGGCTGGATACCCAGAACTCGAAATGAGACATGGTTCGGGTTCCACTTTCCGGTGTCCATATGGCAAACTCCGACGGCGTCAACTCTGTCTTCTCCGTTCTCCCCCACCAACGAAATCCTCAACACCTTATTCTTCTGCTGGCTATGGCAGTAGAACACCGCGTAAGGGTAAGGGAGAGCGTGACACCCCACCATCTTTTCCGCCGGGATCTCTCTCGGCGCCGCCGCGACGGTGTAATTCTGCAGAGAAACAGACGGCGGCTTCGTCACGAATTTCGTCGCCAAAACTCTCAACTTTGAACCCGACCCGAACGTTTCGCGGGTGGAGTCGAGCATGGATTCCAGAGACGTGGCGCAGAACTTGGTCTCTCCTTCCATCGGCCGGAACTCGCAGTGCCTGAGGGTTTCCGCCATGGCCGTGGCCTGCGGCGAGGCGGCGGAGAAGGAGAAGAAATCAAGGAGATAAGGGAGGTCGGCGGATGAGAAGGGAATGGAATCGGCTTCTTCTCTGGACAGAAGATGCGGGTAAGTTGAACGATCATTGATGTCGAAAAACACCGGCAACCTTTTCCCAATCTCCAGATCATTCGGAGTGAAGAAAACATTCAGCTGAGGATCCATGTACGATGAAGATGTCGGCGGCGGTGAATCATGCTGCAAACCCCTTTCTTGTATCATCCCCATCTTCCTTGCACTGCAACCTTCATACACGACCTGTATGCACCCATTATATTTAGACAATTAACGTTAATTTAATCAACCCTAGCCAAATTGGTCAGGCTGCAGAATAACTGATGATACTTAATACGTAGTAATAAAAGTTACAAGTTCAACTCTTAACCAAGAACGACTTATTAAGTTATTAACTTTCTTGATTTGAACTGATCAGTTATGGAAAATTCACTATTTTCGTCCATCATGTCTGACCACCTTAAATGTTTATGGTACATATGATCTACATATATATATACATACCTGCAAGAGAAGCAGTGTTCCGAAGATGACTGAAGCGCTGGAAAATCTGGTGGAATCCATAGCTTCTTCCTTTTAAGTTCTTGAAGCTCCTCTACTATGTTATAGCAGGTAGGTACTTATTATGATCCATCTCCCCAGGTTTTAGACTTTTAGCAGGGAATAATATAATGTTGTTTTAATGAGTGTTTTTTTTTTTTTTGTTGCTGTTGGAGCTGGTCAAAGTCAGCCATTAGTGATACTAATACATATATTTCTCAAAGGCCATGTTATAGTACAATATTCTCTGATGGTACTACAGTACATGCAGTGTATGTAGCAATTATAAAATAATCTTATATTTAATTAAACGAACTCGTCCAATAATAAGCATATTATATTATTGGGTAATTCATAGCAACCGCAAATTAAATAAGTTCATAAGCTTGTTGAGCTGAGGTACATTATATGAATTATCTATTCTTTCGTAATCTTCAGGGCAAAAGTAATCATTTTAGATCTATCTCATAATATAATTTACCTCCTCCTCTCGTCTCTCGAGAGGAGTCGTGGTGTCCTTAAATTTTGAAAAAATTAATATCATCGGTGGTAACCTTTTTTGACATTATTAATTTTTTTTTCTATTTTTGTTAATGCAACATCATGGTTGTATAGTATTATATGTATTTTTTATTACATTCAAACCTTCAATCACTATCTATATCCTTTTGGGAAAATATTTTTAAAAAGATATTATGGATTTAACAATTAGGGAACACGTGGCCAGCCGGTGGGTCGTTGTAAAGAAATAAAACAGTATGCGAGACTTTTTTTTTCTTTATTATTTTTCAAAAGTCACAGGTAAATTTTTATTAAATTATAATTTTTTTGAAAAAAGAAAAAAAGAAAAGAAAGAAGGATAGTCTGCATGACATCATGCATATTACAAATATAAATAAATAGGCATTATAAGAACGTATATTCTTCATTGTGAATATCACGCGTACGTAATATTAAGTCAACCTTTAGCAACAGTGGGACAATCTATGGGCTGTAGCCCGTTGAACATCTCTAGACAATTAACACTTCCTCTTTTTATTTATTAGAGAAACTCGTAATTATTATTAGAGAGTATAAATTAATTGAGAAGTAATATCATTATGCACTAAGGAAACATTGCATCCTTATATATAAAGGAGAGTCAAAGTGCACCAAGACTGACTATGTGAAGCGCTAGGTACATAAATTTCGTTTTTGCGTATCATAGATGAAAGTTAAATCACACTAAAAATTAAAAACTCAACCTTGTGCGATAGGCTCAATTGAGATAACACTAGTAAAAATCAAACTCGTAATCTTCTTATTTGGGAATTATGTTCTACCTATTCAGTCATCTTTTAAGTAAGGATAATTTTTCTTCAATCAACTTATTATGTATTCAATAATTTGACTAAATAAAAACTTGACATGGCTGGCTATACATTACATCAAAAAAAAAAAAAAAAAAAAAAAAAAACAACAACAACAACAACCACAACATACAACAACAACAACAACAACAACAACAACAATAATAATAATATAAATTACACCGAAAAAGTAGTAGTTCGCAGGTTCTCATCTAAGACATGATTCTCATAATAATCTCATATGAACGCTAATATATATATATATATATATATATATATATATATATATATATATATATATATACACGCGCGTGAATGAATGAACTAGAGAAGCTAAGGTAATTTTTTTTTCCAAGATTCTATTTATATATGAAGGCTTGTATGGTTACTTAGAAAATTAGTGATTTTGGCCAACTTCTCTGACTGTACTACCAAAAATTCAAAATATATGGATGATATGATATGTAGAGATGCATGTTTTCAACTTTTTCGACTACTATTACAAGTATGTAGTTGGCATATTTCCAAATTCCAAGAACCAATTCAACATATTATATTCTTTAAGCTTTTAGGGAAGTACAACCCCATGGAAGCTAAGATTATTAAACAATTATATTGCAAGAACCAATTAAACCTCGTGAATTTTGTAGTTTGTTTAATAATGTTTTGTTGTGAGCCATATGATATGATGGCAATTGCAATTCACCAAACAAAACATTGTGGATCGCAGATGGATGATGGATGGAGTCAACTAGTTGCGTTGCGTGCATGTATGGTGTTTGGGTTGGATCTGCCTGCCTGCCTGCATACACTGAACTATATATATATATATATATATATATATATATATATATATATATATATATATATATATATATATATATATATATATATATATATATATATATATGTATATATGTATAGTCTGCATGGTGGAGTTTGATTGCGACTTATTGCAATATATTTGGAGGAAGCTCAGCTAAGTAGGTAGTGTGGACATCAACTTAAAACCCATATTTGTGGGCTTTGCCACTCATGTCGATCTGTCCTAAACCTGAATTATTGATGGTTGACCATTACACACGTACTCATGGGCGGATTCACAGTGGAAGCGATGAGGCAGTTGCTCCTCCCCTACCCCACTCCACTGCATTATGTGTGTGTGTGTATATATATATATATATATATATATATCAAATTGGACAAGGATAGATACTGAGGGAAAGGTCGTATGTTCACATTCATTTTTGTTTTTTACCACCTTTATCTTGGTCTTATTATATATATATATATATATATATATATATATATATATTTGAAAACATGCCACTTTAACTTTTTAATAAGTCAAGTACGAAAACTTTTTTTTTTTTAAAATAATAATAATAATAAAGCATGTAGCTTTCACTACTTCGAGATATAAGATTTCATTTTCAAACGTTTCGAAAATATATAGTTGTCGAGTGGAAAAATCATGATTCTCATAATTTGGGAAGAATGATTCTCTTATTTTAAAGGTTGTTTTATTTTTCATGTATGTTTTGTATACCATTACATAATAATGCAACTCATTGCACAAAGTCTTTTTTAGTATAGTTTATCTCTCATATTTACACAACACTATCATATAGTGATTATAAACTTTCATCGTCAAAAAAAAAAAAAAAAAAATCATTTTCAACAATTTTGTAATGCTCCCGGAGAGAGTCAAATGTTTCATCATAATATCAAACACGTCGTATTACACGAAGAGACGTTTCAAAGCTGCCTAGCTAACATAGATGTATGTTAATTAATCGTGGATGTATATATAGCTGACTTTTGTGAAAGTCATTATTGTAATGTTGCTCTTATCTTTTATTAATATTAATAGTTTATACTTTATAGTGTATTCAAAAAATTAACATAGCATATTAATAGGGACCTTATATAAAAATAATTAAAAATCACAAAATTTTGAATGATGACATTAGTAATAATTAAGCTTCTTAAAATATTTTTTAATAAACAAGCTAAGATTAAATACGCACCATTAGTCATTAGATGTGACAGTAATATACTTTGTCAAGTAGATTAATAGCGGTAGTAGAAATTGATTATTTGAACTCTACATAATAGGGGTTTAAACTTAATGGTTTTGCCTCCCATCTCTAACCCATCATAAAACTATCCTGCATGGCAGCTCAATTAGTCATAAGGGTGAAGTTTGAGAAGAATGATCAGGAGTCTAGTCTAGGGGTGAAGTTTGAGAAGAATGATTAGGGGTCTAGTCTAGGAGTGAAGTTTGAGAAGAATGATCAGGGGTCTAATTTCTGTGGTTCAGCTGAGTTACCATGATTTATATCCTCCAAAATGCTCTGTCGGGTCGAGGTGTGGGCTGTTTTTGGGATTGGAGATTCAACCGTTTGGGAAGAAGAATCATAAAACTAGGTAAGTAATATGTGAATTACATGAAGTTTGAATTTATCATCAATATTTCTTTTTTATGGAAGCTTAGGGATTATTAATGCTTATCTTTAATGGGAGTGATGCTCTGATGACTTTATGTGTGCCCTAGCTGATAAACACAAGGATAAAAGGAAGTTGAAAAAAAGAAAGGATTTGTTGACAAAATCATATATGTACACACTTAAGTGTGGTTTGTTGGGCCAAAATTAAAAAGGGTATATGTAGTGCGACAGGTGATGGTGATTTGGTTGTTTAAAAATGGTAGCATTATTGCATCCCCATATATCCACTCCCCCTGGGACAAAATTTTCAATTCCAAGTCTTACATAACTCCAAACCGTCGATGTGTTTCGCTTAGCTCCAAACACAAATACCTTCATATATATATATATATATATATATATATATATATATATATATATATATATATATATATATATATATAGACGTTCAAATGCGGACAGTGTTTCCTGTGCAAATTAGCATCAGATGTGCGTTAATGCACTACACAGTGTTTGAAAATGCACCACAATGAAAAATATCAAAGCACCACAAAATGTATCACACACCAAAAAATAATTCACATCGCATCACGCTTAATGGTGCATATCTCAACACTTTATAGTGTATTTATGCGTATGTATTGATAAATGATCAGACAATCGCACGAGAAGCATCATCCGCACAAATATAATGCATGAGTCCGATTCCTCTTCCCTAAGTCAACTCCAATCTAATAATCATATTTTTGCCTTGTCGACTGTCCCCATTTTATTTGTTTAATATTTTCACACTTTCCGACATCTTCTGGAAATTTTTAAATATATAATCAACCAGCAAGTGTACTGTTATTAAATGAAATTTTATGACAATAAAATTTAAAAAGAAAAAAACTTTCCTTTATTTATTGTTGTTGTTATTTGTAGTATTGTGTACGTTTGTGTGTCTTTTGGCTAGTTCCTTCAAAAATTATTAAAGATTTATGATGTTCGTGTGTACTGTGTAGTATTATTACTAACTAGAAAGACCGGAAAAGGCAATTATACAGAATAAATATTGTTTGTATTTGGTGTATGTTTTTTTAGTACTACTGACTATGTTACAATATAATATCTGTTCATAACTATTTTATCGATTCAAATCCATGAACTCTCATTTAGAAAGGTCACTTTATGTTACTAGGCTACAAGGTCATTGACAGTTAATTAAGTGTTTAAATATTATAACATTTGAATTGTATATGAGATTATAATTGTTACTTGTGCACTTATCGTCTCGAAAATTATTTTCATGTAATCATGTCTCACAAACATGTACAATAACGTTTTTGACAGTGGATATATCCTTCCAGATCAGTGTTCTAAAACCAACTAGATCTACTATTGGGTCCATGAATAAATTGAACGTGACAAGAACTCATTGAAAGTTACTACCACCTAATAACCATATCACTTGAACTTAAGTTTCACCCATTGTTTTTTTCTAACATAACTACTTCTATATTTTTAATACTTATTTTAGAGTTAATTTATGATTTAGTATTTGATTATCAATGGCATTCAACTAATAACTTTACTTAAAATTATCTTTTTCAACTTTAATGGTTGTGTTGTGTATGGTTTATTTATCCATGGAAGATGACATTTGTTGGAGTGCAATAATACATGGGTACAACACTTATCTACGGGGTTTAAATTTGTTGGGTGGGTTAGGGGTGCGGGGACAGTGCCCCCGCAGTACAATAATACATGGGTAATTTTATAAATGTATTATAAGTTAATGTTACATATAAATGTTATGCTTGTAAGAAGTAATCTTGGATGCATAATCATCACAATTATTAATAAAATATTGACTTCACGCATGGTAAATGTAGGCCTACTGCCAAACCAAGTAAATGTTGTGTTATTCTTCCATTTTTGTCTTTTTATTGATTTGGTTATTCTTTAACAGATTTTGTGTCTAATTTTGTTTCTGGATTCGGTACTAACCATGTTTAATTTTGGGTGAAATTTAAAAGTTAAAAAGTTGACTTTGTGAATGCCAATCGACTAGCTAGCTAGCTAGGGTTTTTGAGTGGTGCATTTTCATGGAGGATTGACCATTAAAGGACAGAAATGATTAAAGGGAAATGTTGAATTTCAACTATGGAACGTGAAGTAATCATTTGAAGGAGAATGAATTGGTATTAATGGGGGTTTTTGTAGTTGACTCCATGAATGACAGAGTTGAGCACCTGTATGTGGCCATGGATGGTATATTTGTTTAAAAAAGGAATGAAGGGTATATATAACTTCAATGGGTTAATAGTGTGGTGTGGATGTGAAAGGAGTGCTGACCAAAATAGCTACAATAAGGTCAAAAGCTAGCAGAATCTCACATGGTGCGCACCTAGCTACTGTTACAAACTTTGTGGGGATGAGTACTTCATCACGTCTTAAATATTTAATCTCGAGAATTCCCATTGTCTTTATCGTCCATATCTAGATTTTTCGGTATTAAATTATAGTCTGTTTTTAAAAAAAAGTAAGGTTCAATACCAACCCAACAGACATGTGCTTAGTGTGCACAAGGAACCCCCTTACCCCTTTGCTGTGAGAGATTAAGACTCGATCTCTGGTCATTCTTCCAAAGTTTCACCTCTATGACCAATTGAGCTGCCCATGCGGGTAGAGATATATACAATCATACATACACAAGAGCATGTTTACTCAATGCATGGCACATTCTCAAATAACAATTGTGTGATTACGGGTTTCTCTCGTCATTCAAAAAATTAAGTTTAATTTCTTTTTATATTTAACATATGTTCATTTTAATGTAAGTTTTGATTATATAAATCTTATTTACCAATACTGAATTAAATAATATTAAAAAAATTGACTTTTTTTAATCAAATTAGACAACACAAAACAATTTTCACCCGTCAATAACTATAACAAGGTTAAATAACGGACAAATTCAATATTCTTTTTAAATAACTTTAAATTTGAGGGGACCTATTATGACTTCGTATTATATTCTAGGCTTATTAAAATTCATTATCACTCTCCTTATATTATATTGTTCTGTAAAATATATAATTGTATTAATGAAATCTTTCCCGAAGATAATGCGACTAATCAAAATTGTGGAAAGCAGCAATATGATTTCATTTTGACATTTACACGTGTTTTTATTCAGCAAATATAAAAAGGAGAGGTGGCCCTATCAACACGGTGCACCAATATATTTCAAAAAAAAAAAAAAAGATTGGATTACCACGATATCTAATACCGCTTTATCAAAGTCTTGGTAAAGAAATAAATCATAAACTATGTTTCCACATTCTACACATTTCTCAAAGTGCTTATACTCTAAAACGTCACCATTAGTACTTTTTCTTGAACTTTTGGCAATCTTTTGGTGAGGTGGGGGAGAGAGCATATAAGAAGGGGGAGGGTATCATAATTAGTTTTTATATTTGATTTTCGTAGTTTGTATCGGAAAAAGATAAGAATCAAAAGTTGTACAAATTCTAAGTTCATAGAATCATTTTTAGTGACTCCGACGTAAATTATGAGTTGCATAATCAATCTAGTGATCAGATTATAATTTTATGTATACGCACAAGGAATTTAATCCAAACCTTTCAATATTCTTAAACCTTTTTTCTCATACATGCTTTCAGTAAAATTTGATTATATTCACATTTCTGTCTCCGGTCATGACCTTTTAAGTTAAGTGAGGAACTAAGTCTATATTTATATTAGTATTATATATAGTTAGTCATGGCTCATGGTATGGTGTATATTTACTCTCGGAATATATATAATAAAATGGATGAAGAAAATGCAATCTTAATATTAATGTTTTCTAACATTAACATCACCCTTATTTATGTGTGTCATCGATTGATTGGAATGTTTGTTATAGTCAATATTTGGGAGATCTAGAGAACTTAAAATAAACATAATAATTTGTAGGAATTAAAAAAAAAAATCAAATTTATTAAATTCATCATCTGTGGGCGCTGCTAAAATAATCAAGAAAAAAAAAAGTTAAATTTTTTTTTAATTAAAAAAAAAAAACAAAACAAAACAAAAAATTCCCTGTAAAATATTTCTATAAATTAGAACTCTCCCCTGCCAAAACGGTCCTCATCAGTCATCACCAGACAATACAGAAGAAACATACAAGTCAAAATGACACGCTTTACTGGCATCCTTCTTCTCCTCGCACTTTTCTCTGTAAGTTCATCATTAATTTCAACGATTTTTTTTGTAAAATTATTTGTGAAAATAACGTTAATTAATCTGTTTGAATTACCTGTATGTATGTATCGATCAGCTTGCATACTTGAGCAATGCGAGGAAGGAGCCGGGCGGCGGAGAGTATTGGAACCGGGTGATGGAGAAGCAGGCGATGCCTAAAGCGCTGCGAGATCTGCTTCCAACCGCCGCCGGCGGGTCGGATCCCGCCGGCGTCCGGTTCGCGACGAATTTTCAGACGATGAAAACTAACCCTGCTATTATCTATCACAGCCCAGTGGAAAAAGCTTCTCCGTAGAGCCTGATTGATGAGTAGTATCGTAGGCGTAGCTATAAATTTATGTATGTATGTATGTACGTGCGGACGGGTGTATATTGATTAAACCCATCTTTGGTTTAATTGATCAATTATATTGTATCAACCATTCATCTCTTTCAAATGATAATATAAATATATTCTATAAAATTCGGAAAATTTCACAATCTCTATTACAAGAGTAGAGGTTGAACTCATAACCTTCTAAATGAAAGTCTAACTAAGGTATCATTAGACCACATAGTTTTGGTCACAATCATTATTTAAATATGCGTTAATGATAAAGTTTATTTTTTGACTTTAATCGGTGAAGGACAAATTATATCATGTATTATGATTTACCTTGTATTATAAATTTTCGTCTGAAGTAATCTTCCGATTATAAGTCTAGTTGACTTATTATGTATTTACAGTTAACAATTTATATATTTGTAAATAAATCAAAGACATAACATATTAACTACATATAAATAATATAGTAACTATATACGTTAAGTGTAAATACGAAATATGTCTATACTTCGTATAATTTTTGAACCAGGTCTATCATGCAAGATGGACTCTGGTCCACGATATAAATGGTAGCTCAATAATAAATTTGGATCAAGCCCAAAAGATGGTCCTTTAATTTTAAACCATTTGGGCTGGGCCTAACTTAACCACTATAATTACTGCTATGCCCAAAGCCTCCGCCATTTTCTTCTTCCTCGCCGACGTTGCCGTACGCTACCGGCTGCTCCCCAAAACCTCGCCGACGAATTAAGGTATTTTCTTTCTTCTGTCTATCTTCTCGGGAGGCTTCATCAATTTGTGTCGTTGTTTCTGTTCTTTGCCGCCCACATTGACTAAAAATTTTATAAAAATTGATTCAATTATTAGCTTTATAATAATTTGTTAGACCATCCTGGAATTATTATTGCTTTTTATATTTATATAGTTTGAGCCATAGTTTGTTGTTAGGCTATGCTCTTTGCTTGTAGAATATTAAAATGATTGTCTTTTTGTCTAAAAGATGAAGGTGAAAAAGCAGAAGCGCCATCGCAAAGCTGTGAGGTTTTATGCAGCTTGTTTTGGTTTTAGAGCGCCCTATAAGATTTTATGTGATGGTACTTTTGTGCACCATTTGGTTGCCAATCAAATAACACCTGCTGATACTGCTCTTGTCAATGTTCTTGGTGCTTCAGTGAAACTCTTCACTACTAGGTCTGCTCCTTTTTCCTGTGTTCTGGGTTCAAAACTTCAAATTTATTTCTTTTGGGAATAGCTTTTAGCTTTGTGTTTAAGGTTTTTTTTTTTTTTTTGGCAGATGTGCTGTTGAAGAGTTGAAGAGCCCAGAGTTGAAGAGAGTCCTTGGAGCTTCCTATTCTGAGTCACTCGATGCAGCTCGTAGCCTTTTAACTGCAAGGTAAACCTTTCATTCTAATGTGGTGTTCTGCATCTATAACTTGCGAACGAGTGTAATTGAATATTTGAATTATGGAAGGCATGGAGTTGTGGTTTTTGAAACTGGCTGAATACAGATACGATTTGCTGCACCTAAAGCTCTGGTCTTTCTTTGTTACAGATGTGATCATGAGAAACGTAGAAGTACTATAGATTGCATAACTGAAGTTATTGGGGAAAACAACCCCGAGCACTTTTTTGTTGCTACCCAGGATGCTGATCTACGGAAAAAGCTTCAGCAGGTTGTTGAACTTCTTATTTCTGTTGTTATTGATACTCTTGTTTCTAAATATTTTGGATTTATTATTTTTATTATAGTCTGACTTTAAAGTTTATAGTAAAAAAATTGCAGGTGAAAATTTGGAAATATATAGGCTGAACCATTTAGTACTAATTTGATAGTATCATATCTATAGACTTCTTTACGAAATCTTTCTTAAAAACTAAATAAAACTATCTTTCTAGATTTGCCTTCATAGCAACAACAATATGTATAAAGATTGGTATTCAAGTGTTAATTTGTTTTAAATAGCTTCCTGAGTTTTAACCTTACTTTTTATGTGGTGGCAGATACCTGGAGTTCCTGTTATATATGCACTTAGGAATGCTTTATTTCTCGAACGACCCTCTACTTCACAGCAGCAGTTTGCCAATGCAGCTGAAGAAGCACGTTCACATATGACCGGCAGAGAGTATAAAGAGCTGAACATTATGAAAAAGAGGAAATTGTCTGATGGAGGAGCTGTTGATACTTCTAATGCAAGTGAAGAAGAGGAAGGTCATGGCTTAGAGGTCCAGAATATCAACACATCTGTGAATAGGAAAAGGAATAGAAGCGACTTAAAGGATAAAGTTCAATTTAAAAGAAAGATAGCCAAGGTAGGACTTGTGAAGTATAAATTCTTGAGAATAATTTGGTCTTTTGATTTATTAACTGCTATTTGTTGCAAAAGGATTTCTTGGCTTTATAAATCCTCGGACTTGCATTATAGAAAATCTGCTTCACTTTTCTATGTGCTGCGTTAATCACTGTATGGCTATGCTATGTATTGTGTTGTGCAGAACCCGAATCCACTTTCTGTCAAGAAGAAGAAGAAAAAGCCTACAGCTGAATCAGAAAAGGTAAATATTTTCTTCAAGTGAATCTGGAATTTCATTTTTTTGCGTGTTATATCCCATTTCCTTTGATGATGAGCACAAACATAATGTATTTAGTTTTCAAACCACATGAAAATGTGTAAAATCTAAGTTTTGAACTGTGGATTATCCCGCTCACATGCCACTCATATAATCTCCACTTCTATGCTAAGTCTGTTTTTTAATCAGAATTTGATACTTATATGGTACCAATCTTCTCCTCTTCAACAAGTGCAGGAAACCAAGAAAAATGATGATGGAAATGCAAAAACCAAAAGAAAAAGGAAGAGGCGTCGAAAGGGTAAAAGTATTGGAGAGGAGGGGACTGGATAAGAGATTTTTGGCCCTCAAGGGAGGGAGGGAAGTATCTCATTTTTGTGACCATTCTCTTTTGAAATTTTGGATGACAAATGTTGTATTGATTCTTATGAGAAGTGAATTTTGTGGCACATTATCAATGGCTTTTGTATTACTCTCTTTGTTTTATATTATATATTTCTAATTTAATTAACGAGCCCGTTTCATGATAAATTGATTAAGATTGAAGATTTATTAAGAAAATTGCTAAGTATAAATTGATTAAAAAGTATAATAAAATATTTGAAGAGAGAGAGTATATACAGTATATACTATATAGATAGGTGCAAGTATTAACATTCAAGATAACACAGCAAGTATAAGGAGAATGATGAATTAATAAAAATTATGTCAATCTTTGAACAGCAATTATAACAATAAATAATATGGAACCCTCCGGCCCATAGGTTATTAGGACAAGAAGTACCAAAGACTACCATCAACAAGCACTCCAGGACCAATCAATCTGCTGAATGTAAAGGCTAATGTACAAGGGCAGCTTGACAACAAGCAACAATTCATTAAGGGAAAACCGAAAAAAAAAAAAAAAAAAGAGGAAAAAATCACAGGGCTAGAAGTTGTCCACACTGTTCTTGGAGCTACGAGATCTCGATTACCAAAACAATCAACTGCTTAGCACTCACATCCAGATGCCCTCGGCTGACTGCTGCTGCCAACATCTATGGTGTCCGGCAAGTATCTTCATCACAATAATTACCAGCCAAATAACCAAAATAATTGTGTCAGTATAAGTTGATTGAAATAAAGAAACAATGTAAGATATAGAGATAGAAATTTAAGTGTCATCAAACAAAGGCTCGGCTGTAATCTTTCAAGAATGTTTGATTAAAAGCAAAATCGAGTGAAAGCATCTAGCAGTAGCAGTAGCGGCCACAGGCTCAATCAGAAACGCATTCTTACTCACCCACAAAAGAAAATCACTATTTATTTAATTCCAAGTTCTGCCATATTGTTAACAAAAGCATTATCAGTTTAACTTACATTTCTTCCTCTTCCCCGCTCTTCAGGGCATTCTTTGCGATGCATTCGAAAGCTTCTTCCACATTGGTGCCTTCCTTGGCAGAAGTCTCAAAGTATGGAATGTTCCCTTTTGAGGCACACCAAGCCCGAGCCTTTTTCTCAGATACCTGCATTGGTGAGGCAGTATGTTATCATCTGAACAGGAAAATATTCCATCACTGAAGAAACTAGTAGTAGTGATGGTGAGCTATAACCATTATGGCTTTACCAGCCCAGTTGCACAACCAAAGAAGTGGGAGGCACAGAGAATTAGAACAATCAATAGGGAATAGTTAGACAACTTACCACTCTACTATTTCCCCCATCAACATCAATTTTGTTGCCGATCACCACAAATGGAAAATTTTCTGGATCAGATGGGCTTGCCTGTAATTTACATTAGACAATATTACTTATTCTCCTTTAGCCCAAACTGAGTACTAGGTGTCAAAATACAAAAGTCTTGCAGCAAAGAAGTAAAAGGCCCGCCAACATGCAAGTAAACACTCGCTAATTGTTACCTGAATAAGGAACTCATCCCTCCAGTTGTTTAGGTTCTCAAATGACTTCATTGAATTTACATCGTAGACAAGGACACAGCAATCTGCACCCCGATAGAAGGCTACACCAAGACTCTGAAATCTTTCCTGGCCAGCTGTATCCCAGATCTACAATACAAGAAAACACAATTTCAGGATGCAAGGAAGTACTCCATAGTTCATAAACAAGCATATGAGAAACTTAAAGATGTAAGTTCACAAGTCATTTGATTTTAAATTCCCATCTAACATTGACAAGCTCATTATAAACTATTTTGAAATAATGACTAATGCAACATATGTTCAAAATCTAAATTTATGTCACTCAACAGAACTATTTTCTTAAGAAAATTTTCCATCTAACAATGCAAATCTCATTACAATGTTGACTTTAAAGTTTAAACTACATGACTCTGGTCAACTCTCACAATGGAAGACAAAAGGGTAAGCTTTATAGCACAGACCAAGTCTATATAAAAAAAAATTTAGAAAAAAATCAACACATTGGTTCTCAGTAATTGAATTGAGCAACTAAACACTTGTCACTAACCTGTAAGGTGAATAGCCTATCTTCAAACTGCACTTCCTTGGTCAAGAAATCAGCTCCAATAGTGGCTTTGTACTGATTGCTAAACTTCTTGTTTACATATCTATTATGTTTGTTCAAGGCACACAACAAGAAGCAAAACTAATCCAAAACACCCCAAAAACAGAGAAGCCATAATTAACTACAAACAGGACAGTCAATTAGAGTAGCAAAAAATGGTGTTTCGCATACTAAATTCCAATTGGGGGAAAAAGAAAGATTCAAATTAGCAAAACACGTGGATACTGATTCATCAACGAGGTCTTCCCAACCCTGCAAATCAAACACTCTGAATCAGATCCAATTGAAGCACCCAGTATATTCAGGAAAATAAAACTAGAACCACTGAAACATAAAATCAATAAGTGAAGATTGAAGAATTTCGATTAAATCGCGCAAGGAGATAAGCAGAACCCTAGGATGAGGTAGTTTGGAAGAAAAGTAAATGGAAGTAGTAGAGGATGAACCCGCTATCGCCGAGGATGATGACCTTCAAAAGCGTTCTTCTGCGAGAAGGCATCTTCAGGGGCGGCGGAGATAGAGGCGATCTGTACGGTGGTGGAAGGAAAAGGCAACAACTTTTTTTCTAGAGACGCGATTGCCGATTGCCGATTCAAGGAAGATACAGACAGTTGGCAACGATGTTTCTAGTCTACTACAAGTACTATGCCGGGAGCAGTCAATATGTTTTCATACTCTTTACTTTTCTTTTTTTATTTTCTGTTTTTTTTTTTTTTTTAAAAATTTAGCATCTGGATTATTATTGTTTTTTTTTAAAGAAAATTATTTCATATTAATTTAAGTCCTAAGACAGAAAATTACAGATGATAGAAGGAGGATTGATAATAGTTATACTATGGATCTGACCTTGTAAGGTGGACCAGTGTTCAAAATACACAATTCAAATACTGAATAATGTTCACAATTTACCTACTAAATGTTCACAATACAAAATTATTATCATTTAGTATATATTTTATTTTGGACCCGATAAAATAATTTGTTAAGTACTACCCCTCCGAACAACCAGGAAAGAATTGTCAACAAATGGGCTTCCCAGTTTTTTTTAATCATTCAATCCCCTGTTTTTTTGTTTAGAATTTTGTTCATTGTTTAGTAAATGCATCTGTCATTTGTCTCAATATTGTCTCAATATATTGGAGAGTTTATAATAAATTGTTATAATGAAATAGTATAATCAATTTTATAAAATAATTGAACTTAATAAATTTTAATTTAACTAGACAGTAGAGAGTCAATAGTTAATCTGTGTTGTTGAGAAAATAGCTCAAACCGGATTTTGTAATAATTTTATAGGTGTAAATTTAATAGGGGAATACAAAAACAAAGGATTGAATAGTTCAGGCTTCAGGGGTGTAAGCATAACTTCAACCTCAGCCTAGAACTGTTACGAAGTTTAAAGATTTGGGTTTAATTTTTATGTTTTTTTTTTTTTTTTTTTTTTTTTTTTTTGCATAGAAATGTATAATTTAGTATTAATTTAATTTATCTCTTCAGGAATTGAGAGGCAGGTTCATAGAGTATAACGATATAGTCCGGCAAAGGCAAGGAAACTTGAATTTTACACCCCAAAAAAAAAAAAAAAAAAAAAACATGAATCCTCTCTTCTGCCAAATCCTCTTTCATTATATTGGTTTTCAAACTTCAAATAAACGTTTTACATGGGAAAGGCTTTCTTCAATACTCCAAATTTGGGCACAACACTATAACCTATTATTGCAGAACAAATCTAGCACAAACCTTACAAAAAACCATAATAGTTTTTCCTATTATGAAAATCAAATGTCCAAGGGCAAAGTGGTTTTTTTTTTTTTCTCCACAGCTATTTGCAAATAAGAAATATCTCCATTCTGCAGTAACATGCCTATGTTCACAGCAAGAAACATAAAGTAAATGATGGATGATTCCTCAGGCAACGCTTTCACTAGGATACAGAAATCTACAAAAGGTAGCTCGATAGATGCATCACTTGCCCATCTTTAAAGGAAGCCGTAGGAGAAGAAGAATAAGAAACCATCCACTACTCAGATCACCTGCCTGTACCCTCCAAAAGCCCAAATCTGCAAATACAGAAAATGGTAGTAAATAATGCAATCAAGTAATAGACTATGTATTAACATATGAGCACATAAATGAGGCTTCAATTTTGTACAGAGAATGCAGACCTTGAGGGTTGTGTCCCAACTCCCGGTGCATAAGGCACTTCCATCCCCTGACAATCCCAAGCAACTGATCCGACCATCATGAGAGTTTTGAAGTGATCCAAGATTTAGGACCATCTGTAATGCAGAAAATAATAACATATCCACGCCGTAGTTAAGTAAAACCAGCATGTCAAGACTACCAAATCATTTTCATCAAATATTGTGAATGATAATTGCTACATATCCTTATAAGAAGTCAGTGAAATGCTGAACTCCACTAGCAGAGCTTTTGGTCATATACAACGCAACAACGACATTGTATAAAAGACCAAATCATTTTGATTTTTTACAGTTCAAATATCAAGTAGAATAGACCAAAATATTACTCTGTATCTGTAAGAATTTGTGACTGGCAAATGGCAATTATAACCAAGATAAAGTTAGATGTACATGCTTTAGGAGTCAATATTAGAAATATTTTGGGCATTTTAACTGCCATGTGACAATCTAATTATTTTACAGTGAATGGCATTTTATTATTTATTATATTTAGCATCTTATATTTATTAGTTAAGTCCATAGCAATGTTTTATTAATTTGCTCATCCCTAAAAGTTAAGGATATAAGTGACAGCATCTTGAATATTTTTAAATGTGCTCCAATTGTTCTAGCTAGTACACTTGTAAATATTAAGGATATGAAAATTAGCTAGTAGACTCTTATAAACTCTATGGAACTTAAGGGGGTGTTTGTTTGGACCTTAAATTTGAATGTTTGATCTACTATCTCTAGGACAATGGAATTATATCCAAAGGCTTGTGACATACTATAAGAGGTAACTAATTATCTGTGAACTATGATGTGAAATTCAATTGAAAAATCAAATATGCTGTTTTATTTTATCCCTTCCAAATTTTATGTGTTACTCTAAAAATAATGCACTTTTAACAGAAAGAGTATCAATTACCTTAGCCAACAGAGTATCCCATACATAGCAATCACCATTTGTGTACCCAGCAAAGAGGAGACGACCAGAAATGGAGAATGCAATGGAAGTAACACGATGGACTTCATTATCACTATGGGGCTGAGAGTAAACTTGTAGCTGGTGCCCAGTCCTAATATCAAATAATCTGCAAGTTCCATCATCGGAGCCAGTTCCAAACCGATTTCCGTCAGGGAAAAATTTTACAGCAATAACATCTCCCTCATGACCATGAAATGTACGAACTGCTCGACTAGCAACACGGGTGTCCCACAGACAGGCAGTTGTGTCACAAGAACCAGAGACAAACATATTTGTATTTGATGCACTAATTGACACGCTGGATTAAAGCAAAACAAACGAGAAGAAGGGCTTTTGAGATGATGAACTTCAATGGATCTTGATACTTGTAAAGAATACTAAACTTGTACATCTCCAACTCACCTTGACACATCAGCAGTATGCCCAGACTGATATTCACCACCAAAAACAGAAGTTCTCAGACCAGTAGTTATATCCCACAAACCACATGTTTTATCACCAGAACTTGTTATTAAGTGAGCATCCTCATTAGGAACATACTGGCATGCGGATACATAACCCTTATGCCCACTTAGTGTTCTTGATACTGTTGAATTTCCATCATTATCTGGAGGGAGGTTCAAATTGAAAATAGAGCAAACACTATCAAGCCCTCCACAAGCAACAGACTGCCCAGTTGGAGAGAAGGCACAGGTCATGACCCAAGCACATGGTAGCTTAATCGCATGAGTTTTCTGGCTTGTAAGAGCATTCCAAACAATTAACCTGCCATCTTGAGATGCACTGACAATGCGATTTTTTTCAGGAGTCCAGTCCAGTGAATACACCTGCCAAAAGATTTAAGAGATTGGAGCAATCACGTATTAAAAGTACATTATAATGTGAAATATGATAAAGCATATGCATGCATATTTTGGTCAAGCAAATTTTTAAGACGAATTCAACTTATCAAACAGGAGAGAGGGAAAAAAATGGACAAAAAGAAAAATAAAACTATCATATCTGTGCAACCCCCCTATGCTGTTTAGACAATTTTAATCTTTATCCATTCTGAAATACAGGAAGATGTTTAGCTAAAAGAAGACAAAGAAAACCCTACAACTAGGGTTCTTTTCTTTTTTTTCCCTCTTTCCAGGGTAATTTATTGTAGCTAGGCTACTAAAGCAATTGTTCTTTTGTTGCAGAGTTGCTAAATATGGCACTCAGAAACATTCAAGAAAATCAAACTCTCTCATCTGACTGATCAGAGCAATGAGCAAAAGCTTCTACCTATCTGGATAACATATATGCATATTCAAGTATTCAACCAACAACTTTTCCAGCTTACAAACAGGACAGCTAAAAAATTTAATAATTTACTATCAATTAAACCACAAGCTTACACCGAAGTACCAAAAGATTTACACTGCAAACTTTAGTAGCTGGTGAAATTCCATAGAGTGGAGAAACAATTATACCTTGCCTGTGTGACCTTGCAAGTTTCTACAGCACACCAGATCTGTAGGGCCGAAGCTGATCGGAGTCTTACCTTGCGACCTTGCATACGTCGCAACTGCCATGAAGTCAACAGGGATACGATCAGATAATACTAACCCGCAATCATTTCCAGGAAAAAGAAACTCAACTTTTAGTAAAGTTCATAAACCAGTTCCAATAACAAAAAGAGAAGAAAATAGAGAAATAACCATCAGTGTCGAGAAGAAGAAGACGTTTCTCCTTCAATCGTTCCCGAAGAGAATTTACAGTCTGGGTCGCTGCCATGTGCCTTTCTTTGAGCTCCGCTACTGACATTTTTGTTTTTCCTTGGAAAATTCCGCTCTTAAATCATCTTAGTACGAATTTTGATAGTAAGACAAAGGGATTAGTTTTAAAACTCCTGACAGAATTTTAGGGTTTAGAGTAGAACAATCTGAATCTGAAATCTAAAATTAGATTTTTTTTTTTTTAAATGAAAAACGAGTTTTGAACGTTGGCTGATTCAGCGAGCCGCGGCCTCAACGGGGTCCATGGCTTCACGGTTCAGTTTTCAGAACTATTTTCAGATGGGGGGATGGTAGAATTGTTCTATGGCGAATGGAGACATTGACTGAAAGCCGCCGGGCCCACATATCCGTCGTGGCATTTCCGCAAATGGACCGCGTTGATTAAGATGGTAAAGCGGGATTAAAATTTTCTTTCTTTTAATGCTACGGAGTAATAGTTTAAGCTTGATATGTATTTTTCTTTCCTTACAACTTCCGTTCCAAATTTCTCCCTTTTTGCAAAAGATTGGTACACTAAACAACATTATGAAAGAAGAAACAAAAAAGAGTCAAAATTCTCATTATGAAAACTAATAAATGTATAATTATATTGAAAAAATCAAAATTACAAAATTTTAATTCTTATGCATATCTAAGAAAGAAATGAAAACGAGATCTTCACGAGACGATCATTCAATAATAATCTGTCGGGTGAAAGATCATATGCTAGAGTATTTGAAATAAATAACAAATTAAAATAATTCGATCAAACGTTTTACCCAAATCAAAATTGGAAGAGGAAAAAAAAAAAAAGAATACAATAAAAGAAAATTCATAAGAGGTCAAATGAGAATTAATATCACCAGTTAACAGTTAACCACCACTAGAGTGGGTGACAGGAGTAGTTTCAAATTGTCCATCCTTGTACATATGAGCAAACTGATACGGCAATGCATGCTCCTCCTGCATATATACACATAAATTACAAAATTCTCAATATAAACGTTTTCATTTTAACTATTTGTAGCAACCCTGTGAGTTACCCTACAACTTATTTGGTAACTTTTTCATATCACATCAGATTATGTATCTTTAATTTATAGTTTTGACACATAATACTTATTTTTTATTCATTGCTTAACACTTCAACAAAGAAATAAAGATTAAAATGGGTAGGATTTCCTAACACTTCAATAAAGAAAATATTAAAGTTGATGGAAATTGTCTTATTCTTTTTGAAATAAGGGTAGAAAATATATTACAATAAACATGGATTTATAGGTTTGGTATACTAAGGAAGGAAAGCATACCCAATCAGAATCAAGCCCTTCTTTAGCAGGCACTGAAACGTTGACATCAATAGACTTAGCTGTTGTAACAGAAGTCTCCAAAGAATTTTTGTTCAAGTATATCTGGCACTCAGATGTATTATCCACTGAAATTGTTGGTGCATAACCCTAAAGAACCAATGTAGAACAAAAGGAATATAAACCCATGTCTCATAACACAAACAAGGAGGAAGAACAGATACTAACTTCTGAACTCTCAATGTCAATGGCAATGGAATAGAATAGTAAAGCTCTTTTCAGTAGAGTAAAAGCAAAATACCTGACATTGCACCTCTACACTACTGCAATTAACAACCTCAAAAGCTGCCACAACATCCTGTGAAGTTTTTAATCGGGAATTAGCCCATTAATTATTCATATATTCAAAGGACATGTTCCATGTTCAAAAAGTTTCTCACTCACTGTGAATAAAACACCCATCTTACTGCATTTATCAATGGTTATGTTGTTTACTTTTCCTGCAAAATATCATCGTTGACACAAGTTAGCTCTATCAAAGTTATTGCTCAAAAAAACAAAGAATTATTCTGCAGTTTACAACCAAGTTGACACTAGATCAGACTTTACTTTGCCAGAAGCAAAAGTTACCTTGGATCTGCAGAACAGAACCTTTGCACCCAAAGACATATACAGACTGCTTGGGATCACAATCATCAATAACCAAATTCTTCTCATCAATTTGATACTCAACCACCCATCTGCAAGAAACACATTTTTGACAAAGTTCATAATGATCAAACAGGTATTAATCAGGAAATGTAGGTTCTCACTTGCGACCCATTTGGAGCTCTAGTTTTGGATTTCCTGTTTTAGAGGAAAATGCTTTCTTAGCAGAGCCTTCCTTCCCGCGATCTCCAACAATGCTGGTTCTATCTGCCCGGTTCTTTGATTTCATATCATCTGTTACCTTTCTCAAACCTAGACTAGAAAGAAAACAAAGATTACAACATAAAACTGAGATCAAATAAAAAAGAAGCTGCCAAGAACAAAAATTACCAGATGTTACCGGCTTTCCAGAATTTATTTCTGCAAAAACAGCAGTCATTCCTGGTGTTGATGAAGACTGATGAGATCCAGATGTGAAAAGTGAAGATGCAGCTGGAGCTGGAGGTGCAGGTGCAGATACAAAACGCTTCCCTGTAGCATTCCATACAGGACCCAATGGGTAGTGACTTTTCACATAATCTCTCAAGCCAGGTACATAAAGCTCCTTCAAAGATTTTGCCCACTCAAAGTGATTGGGGTCATTGTTTTTATAGTCCACAAGAATCTATGATGCAATGAAAATTGGTTCAGGAATTAGAAATAGAAATGGCTTCATCTCACTCTGAAAAAGTAGTTGGCCAAAATGATGATCATGTAAAGCATCAATAAAATACCCAAGTTTTGCATTTCCCCATTTAGTCCTTTTTTTTTTTAATTTGACCTAATAATATCCTTGAATCCTTGATTTCAATTTTTTTGCCAACTTCAATAGTTAAGAACTAAATTTGGCACCCAAAAAAAAAAAAGTTAAGACAGAATGTCTAAATCTAGTGTAAAGTATAAGTCAATGATGCAAAATGATAGGATAATGTGAAAATGATACCATAATGGGAAACTAAAATTAGAATTAACCCTTGTGGTAAAATATTTTAGTTCCATGAATACAAGTGTGTTCACACAGCATGACTCAAAAAGTGCATTTCCTTCTTATCCTAACTTTGGGGCTAGATTTGACAAAGTAGAATATACAGCTTCCTTCACTTGGTAGGAGGAGCAACTATATGAGGAAAAGTAGTTATGTTCCACTAGAAACCATTGTACCTTGTTGCAGTAAAATTCAGCTGTCTGCCAGCTCTCTTCCACATGGGCAGTGGGCATGCTCATACCTATGAACAACTGTGACATAAGTAACCAGTTTGCATATACAGTTTAACAAGTGAGATACAAGCTTCGATGTGTCTTACCGCACTCTTTTCCTGTGTAAGCAATCCATGCCAGGGCTGTTAGACTTTCAGATGTGGCCTTCCAGTGGTTGGTGAAATCAGATTTACCCCCCTCTGTCATTGATGACGCCTTCATAATTATTAAGTTCAAGGGCTTCAAAAATTCCGGCATACTTCTCAAATCGGGTGTCTACGCAATCCATACACAATGTGAGTGTAAGATCTAACCAAATTTATCGATAACTGAACAGGACACATAACATAATCTCGACATGTAAAATGAAACGGAGGAACTGCGATTTTGAAATTAATTCAAAAATTTTCCACCAAGTATGGAACAAGAAGTTGATGTATGGATTTAATTAGAAGAAATTAACCTGAGTTTCCTTGACTTTGATCAGAAGTTGCTTTTCAACAGAAAATGCTTCCTCTATGATCGCGGAGGCATCCAAAATTTGTCCTCCAATCTTCTCCGCCGCGCTGGTAATCCTCCCGATGTACTGTGAAATCAGACCGTCGAATGCAACTATCGACGGATCCGTCGATGCATATCCGTCTACATCCAGCGACCTCGACGTCTGGAATCCGCCGGAATACAGCGCCTCCAGACGGACCGTCACTGATTCCAACCGCTCTACTAACTTGGCTTCCATGGCCACCCAAACTGAACAAACCTCTCTACATGCAAATACTTCCGATCCGTATACAATTTCCTCCTTCTTGTAGGCGATCGTTGATTGCTTGTTGCGATTTTTCGATCAACTGATGCTTCTTACCTGCGCGCGTTTGCTGCATGAATTTCGAATCTCTGTGAGTTTCTAGGCGACACGTGTAGGATAGCTAGTAAATGATGGCCCTTTTTCAGCGTTGTACGATAATCAATAGGGCTAATTTGGATCGAAAACGCCCATCTCATTTTGGGTCCTGCACACTTTAATATTAATACGGAATTGATTTACAATAATTTGTTTTAAGGTAAATTTAATAGAATTCTTTTTCTTTTTTTTGAATACGAATTCTTTTTAGTATACTTAACAATTTTTATTTTATTTTATTTTATTTTTGGAATGAAGGGGGCGGGTGCCCAGCGAGCCTAAGCGAAGGTGTCAGCAGTGAAGAGCACCCTGTCCCTCTTTAGCAGCTCCGCAATGCACTCAGGCAACATATTAATCTTAATCCAGTCACAATGCTTCCTCAGCGCCATTTTGGCTAGCTCGTCTGCAACTGCATTGTTCCCTCTAGGAGTGTGATCGATGACGACAATCCAATCTTTCTTGAGCCAATCTTTGCACCATCTTACCAAATCCCCACAGTGACCTAGGGGTTCCGTCTCTCCAGTAAGCCAACGCACCGCTTGTAGGGAGTCCGTGACCATCTTGAATCTCCTTTGACCAATCTCCCAAGCCCATTTCAGGCCGAGGTAGATCGCCCAAAGTTCCCTTTCTGTAGCGTTGCTTACTTTCATCATGCAGCTGAACCCTCTCATCCAGTCGCCCCTCTGGTTCCGCAAGACTCCACCGCAGCCTGCCGGCAGGTTTTCCGAGACAAAGGAAGCATCCGTGTGGAGGGTTATACACCCGTGTGTACTCCAGGTGGTATCACTGTCTTTCAACGACGCTGTGGATGTACACTTGTGGCGTTCAAAGGCTTTTCGTATCTCCGTCAGCTGGCTCCATATCCAAGCTACTTTGTTATTCAGGTCCTTTTGTTCGTTCCTGAATAACCACCAAGCTATTAGTGAGAAGAGTATGTTCCAGTCACCTTAAGCATAAATGCATCTATATTTAATGCATAGTATTTTACAATTTGGATACATCTATATTCATAAATTATGTTTAAATAATTGATAGTGCATGGGTCTGTGGCACAAATTGGTTACAGGGTGTTTGGTAAATAGTTGTTAGCTTATTTGGCTAGTGGAATTGATCAGTTGATAGCATTAACTGATTATAGAAAAAATATTTGGTAAATTAACTTATAGATGATTACATGCAACATGATTTTTTCATAAAGTTTATCAAAAAAAAAAATTGTTTTAATAAGCTTTTTAAATTTTAGCATTTGGAGATAAAAACTTAATTAATCAAATACTCATATTGATTGTTTAACCAAGGTCAAACATGTAATAGTGATCAAATAAGTTTAAACTATCTAATAAGCTAACTATGTTACCGAACATGACATATGACTTATAAATGGTTAGAATTTGAGCACAGGATTTTAGGAGGACAATTAGATAGCCTATCGGGTGATACATAGTATAACAAATAACTATGTTAGTTTATGACTAAATGTGTTATAGCCTTATAGACTTAAGTTGAAGTTGACAAGTTGCATAATTGCAAGCGTAATGCAAATTTACGTAACCATTTTCTTAACCTACTGATTTTATGTATGTTACTCTATAAAGTTAATCTTAAACTTAATATATTTAGCACACAATTTTTTTGTTCATATAAAATTTTCAAGTTATGCGTATGTTTATGGTGACATTTGGTTGAATGGATCAAGAATGATAGTAATTGAATAGTCGTACATTTAAATTGACCAAATTATTAATTGTGAAGTTAAATTAAAAATGATATAATAATACTTGTAAAATCAAATTAATAGTCACGACTTAAATTAAAAAAAGACCTAATACTGTTGCAAAAATCGCGCCTAGATGCTAGGCGGTCGGCCTCTTAGGGCGCCTGCTTAAACGCTCTAGATGCCTGCGATTTTTTCAACATTGCCTAATAGTTTTAATACCAAAACGATAATTTTTCGTGCCAATGCCACAATATTTCAATAAATGTGGGGTAATAATGTGAAAAAATTATTTTTGCTAATCAAAACCTAATTTCTCTCTCTCTCTATTTTATTACGGAGTATTATTTTAATTTTAATTTTTTTTTAAGTTTTGTTTTTATCCTTCGGCTTTATACGTGCCTTCACCAATTCGCCGGAAGTCGGAATGCTCCCGCCGGCATTCAAATACTCAAAATTTCGGAATACTGAGATTCTCCGAAGCTGAACCCAGCTTGTTTTCCAGTAGCACTTTGAACTGATCCAATTCCCTTCTCCTTCGTTGAATCGGTAATTTGTATTGAAACCGTGTAATTAGTTTCTTCAGTTGCAGTTTATTTGATTCGAATTTGTTTCTCCCTGTTTATTACGATATATTAAATGATTTTATCTTTTTTTGATTCGTTTATTAGTATCCTCCCAGTGGGTTCTGCGCCTTCTTCTCCACTGAGTAGAAATAGCTGTGAAAATGTGGTGTTTTTTTTTGTCTGCAGTGCAAAATGGTTGCTTTTGTGTCGTTATGAATTTCATTTGGGTTATGATTTCTGTTGGAACCCAATTGCTAAAGAAAATCGTTCTCAATCTGAGTTCAAGAGTATTTGAGTTGATTTTAGACCCAGTGTGTGTGAATCCGTATGCTCTATTTGCAGCTAGGGCCTAGGTTAAACTAAATTAGCTGAAAAACCTTACTCTTGTGTGGTAGTTGATCTCACTGGGTTAGTCTGAGTTTGGTGAGTTTGATTTCTTGCACTTGGTTTCAACTTAAGCCTTTTTGGTTTCTCCATTGTACTAAGAATTATTCAACTTGACTGGTACCAATCATTAGAAATTGTGTTATTATGTTTCTCTATTGTGCTAAGGCAGATTAATTTTGAGGTTTGGATGGTCTGTTATCGTTGCAATTTTTCAGTTGTCTCTACTTATATCAGGCAACTATAAGATGTTCTCACTTCTCAATAGGCACATGTTTTGTTGCTTCAGGTTTCATTTTGGCAAAGGAAGTCATGAATTTTGCAACACTGTTTAGGAGGTTGAATATCAGAGAGTTGGTATCAAATGCACCTGTATACAGTTCTGGTAGCGGTATGAATTTGATCACATGTTTTTATGGACCTCTGGTCGTTGATTTACATGCACAATATTGGTGGTTGGTAATTGCATTCTATTTTGCATGGTTTAGATGCATCTGGGGAGGGATTGAGCTTAGTACTCCGGCGCTGGGCTACCAAAAAGACAGCAGGATCCACAAAAAATGGACGTGACTCAAAGCCCAAGAATCTTGGAGTAAAGAAATTCGGTGGAGAGGTGAGAATTTCTTTTTGGCCTAATGGCAAAGAATGGTTATGGATTATGAGATTGATTGTTGTCCTTGTATTTTGCTTGCTCAAGTAGTGTTTATACTGCAGAGGGTGATCCCGGGAAATATCATTGTTCGCCAAAGAGGAACCCGATTTCATCCAGGGGATTATGTTGGAATTGGTAAAGATCACACCCTTTATGCTTTAAAAGAAGGGTGTGTCAAGTTTGAGCGTAACAAGCTGACTGGACGTAAGTGGGTGCATGTTGAGCCCAAAGATGGTCATGTTCTTCATCCAATATATTCGACTGCTGCAGATCCTGGGCTGAAGACTGCTACTTAGATTTTGCTTCCGCCAATTTTAAATCACTTACATCTACTTATATGAAACTATGGAGTAACCATCTATAAGTCTCATCATGTATTCATGTTTGAATTCTTGTTTCCATTTATTCAAGGCGCTAGATAGTAGATACACTTTCTGTACTTCACTTGGCCTCTTTATGACAGACATTTTTGTTGTTAGTAATAATAGTCATCTTTTCTCTTTGGTTGCTATATTTTGTAATTCTTACTGATGTAGCAATGGCTGATTTGAGTTCTACTGTTCAAAAATGGATTTGCAAAATGATGCAGTAGTTTTGCATTTTAGAGCTACATAGTTTTTTTTGTTTTTTTGTTTTTGTTTTTTTTTTTTTTTGTTTTTTTTTTTTAGCTTCGAATTCTATTCAGAACACATCTGCAGAATTTGACTCTTACTTGAGAGAAAGTTTGGCTCAGAGTTAGTAACTCTCATTCGAGAGAAATTTTGGTTCAGAGTTCAATCTCTACAAGTGGAGTCCATCCTCTGATCTGACAGTTAAGAGCTGCTCTGTTCACTACCTGTCCAACTAAATAACTATATTGAAACAACAGAAAAACATTGGAAAGTGAATACACTCACTATATACACACAGTTACAGACAAAAAAAGGTGGTCATTATTAGAAGTGTTCAAATCAAATATCTTTGTTAGTTTTCTTGATCTGTTTCTAATCTGCTACTATAGTTAGATTGATGATTGAATGAGAAATCTTCTACAGAGCCATTAGCACAAGTGGCTGATGGCTTGTCACAGCTGATGCCACTCTCATATATCCTGCGTCTTTCCACTTTATCCTGAACCATTTCTTCAAATTTTTCGTCTTTCCACTTTATCCTGAATCATTTCTTCAAATTTTTCGTCTATGCTTTTCAGCATATATCACAGCTTAAAATTTAGGACTTTGTGTTTTCGGATTATTTTGTCTTCAAGGGAGTAACTGAAAAACCTGTAAGAAATTCCAAAGTTGTCTTCAAAGACGGTGTCTTGAGATTATTGATTTTTTTATTTAAAAATTAAATTTGTAAAATTGAAGAAATTGAGAATGAAAAATTAGAGAAATAGAGAAGAAAGACTAGAGAAATAGAGAAATGAAAACTAAAAATGAAAAAATAAAGAAATGAAGTAAATGACTTCATAAATTTTCTTGCGAAAAAGAGAAAAAGAGAACTTCTGTAATCAATAAAATTAGTTCTAATGGCCTTGTTGTTTTGGTCACTTTGGGACTGTGTACACTTGGTCACTTTGGGACCAAGTTTGAGTTGTAAGGATTTTTGCCCTTTTGATGTCTTTTGTGGTCACTTTTGGGCCAAGAACTTTTTAGGCTTTTGCCTTTTGTTATGTGATGATATATATATACTCCATGTTCTTAAAAAATAAAAAAATAAAATTAGTTCTCAAAAAAAAAAATCAATAAATGAATAAAATTAGTGAAGAATAAAATGGAATTATTAGGAACACCAGGGACCCCAATGAAATTATTTTGAACACAAGGAAGACAAAGACGCGGGAAAGGGCGTAGTTCCCACGCTCTGCGAATAGAGAAATTAATCGTCCTGCTCAGCAGCAGCTGCTAAACGGTGTCCAAAAAGAGAGGATTCCGACGGCAATCGAGAACTGATCGGAGATGATGCGAGCGGTGATAATGATGAACGATAAAGGCAAACCTCGACTTGTCAAATTCTACGAACATCAGGTCGGTGACTCCGAACCCTAAGATGATTTTCTTCCTCTTTCATTAATCTCAATGTGTTCGAGCGTGGCTTGAAATTTTGCGAGGTTAGCCAATGGAGAAGCAGCATGAACTGATTCGAAAAATCTATGCAGGTTTGCTTTCATTTTTTTTTTTTTTGACTTTCCAAATAGAAATGAAGTTGTGACCTTCTCCGTGAACACTGAACACTGCATCAAATCTTCCATATTATGTAACTTTATCGGATTAAGGTGTAGTGGAATCAGTGAATGAAAATGTAGGTTTGCAACGCATGTGCAAAAGATTTGGTGCAAATGAAGTTTTCCATCCTTAAATTTATGAATTTATGATTCAGTTATTGGAAGATAATAATCTTAGAACTATTGTTGTAATATATTCCAATAGTTTTTCCTGAGATTGATGTCTTATTGCAGTCCTGTGTAGTAGACCTGAGAGCGTGAGCAACTTTGTTAAGGTTGATTCGTTGTTTGGATCGGTATGCCTTTCTTGGTTCACTCTGCATTTTCTTCCTTATTGTATGTTCCGGAAATGAATATTTTATGGGGATCACTATGCAAGATTAACAGATGTTGTATATTTCTTATGTGCAGGATGCTCGACTTGTATACAAGACTTATGCCACACTGCACGTCATATTCATATTTGATGCGTCAGAGAACGAGCTTGCTATGCTAGATCTGATGCAAGGTATATTTATGTAATGCTTAGACTGATTTTGTACATTAGATGACTGGATTAGATCCTCGTGTTGTGAACAAAGGTGAAATCATAATGAATGCCCCTGGGTGTGTGAGATCACACCTCACTGCAAATTCGTTTTGGGTACTAAACATTCTAAGTGGTTCCTAGGCACAATGGGTTGCCAATACTCTCTGTGCTTTATGCAATGAAGGCAATAGATGGCCACTCTGCCTGGGGGGAGGTTGAATTCAAACCCAAGCCTAATGCCTTGGGAGGATCTTAACCAACCACTAGGCTGAACCTAAATCCCAGATTGATTAGTTTAATTCATAAATTATTCCAATACTGCAGGTTTTTCTAATTGGAGATTTTGTATCATTTTGAAATTTCAGTTTTCGTGGAGACACTGGACAAGTGTTTCAGTAATGTATGTGAACTTGATGTAGTATACAATTTTAACAAGGTTAGTACATTTCTTCTGAATATAAAACTATTGAAATAGCACTTTCATTGTTGTCTTATATGCATAACGGATGACTGCTTCATGGTTAAACCTGGCATGAGGGATTATTTAGTTATACTGCCATAGGTCTATGCTTGTGCGTTATGATTCCTTGTTGACTCATCTTTGAGCTTCCACTGCTCCGGTAATAATTTTGCAGGTGCATGCTATTTTAGATGAGATTGTTATGGGGGGTCAAGTACTCGAGACAAGCTCTTTCGAAGTGGTTAAGGCAGTTGAAGACATCTCAAAGTAAACACCACATCCTCCCTCCCACTTTTCTTCTTGTCCTTTATATCTTTTTGTTGTGTTGCTGGCTGCTGACAGCTTATTCTGCACAGGTTGGAAAAGGGTTCCAATTCAATCATGCTAGTTCCATCTATACCTGGATGGCAAGGTCGATGACATACTTCCAATAAAGTAAGTTCTGTATCTATAAAAATTTGACCATATTAAGCAAACAATGATTTGGTGATAATCCAATTTGGAGCCAAGTTTCCTACCACAAAAAACATGTCTGCTTTGATTTCTTACAAATCAATATCATCTTTAGTGCTAAAACACTCTAAAACATAACTACAGCATTTGAACCAATAATGAATTGCTATATTCTTTCAAGGCATGATTGTCTTGTATACCTTAAAGAACATTCTGAAGTGCAGTGTAAAAGTCAGATGGGTTTTGTTAGAGTTTTTTGCACTTTTGGCCCTACGAGTATTGTGGCACTAACAATGTTGATCCACAACTTTCAAAACTTGCATAATTGGTCCACTAGTATCAATTTCTTAGCTCAAATGGTCCTTCCGGTGAAATCTCTGCAAAAGGAAAAGACCATTATACTCCTGCTATAAAGGAGAAATAATTTTTTCAGTGAAAAATTGACGGAGATTTCACCAGAATGACCATTTGCACTATGAAATTGATACTCGTGGACTAATTATGCAAATTTTGAAAGTTGTGGATCAACATTGTTAGTGCCACAATACTCGTGGGACAAAAAATGCGAAAAACTTGATTTTGATATTGTTCAAGAGTCTCTTTCTATATAAAGATTACAAAAACATCTCACATTTGTATTTTCTTGTCTTTGTAATGTAAATGAAATTTCACACACCATTTCTTTTTCTCTCTCCGTTAAAAGTAAGACAATGATGATAAGGCTTAAACCCTAAACCCCTTGCCCTGGGGATTGTGAGAGGAGGTAAATCGTGGGATGCGTGCCTCAGCGAGACAGGGTTTGAGTGCTTTGCTTTTTTCCTCAGGCTGAGATTCTCCCCCATTGAGGATTCGAACCTGGGTAATTGCTAGGCACTACATTCATACTCAAGTTTTCGACCACTGAGCTATGCCCTGGGGGCATGATGGTGATAAGGTGTTTATATAAAACTGTTGCTTCTAAACTTGACAAGGTTGCATAAATGTTGGCAGTGTAGGCTGGTGAGAAGTGCAAAAAGCGCCAAGACTTCAGACTCCTCTTTTGCATACGGCATCCAATATTCTCACCACTGTTAGACGACACGACTTCAGATCTTTATACTTGTAATTGTTGAGCCGGTCATTTCTAGAGAACAATGGAATCTTGATTAGAATCCTCCTTTAATTTCTTCTTTGTTGCGTCTACATTCAAGTTTTCCAGAGAGAGAGAGAGTTTGCTTGTGATTGACACAGAAGGCATATGTAGTTTCTTGCATGAAATGAAAAACGAAATTGTAACATTACACTCTCATCTTTATTGCTCCCCGCAACTGTATAGGAAATGCTTTTGTAAAAAGTAGTTGTGAGTTGTGACTCAGATACTTCCAACAAGTAAACGTCTAAGTATAGTTAATAGTTACTCTAATTATTTTCTTTGAATACTATTGTTCTTGTGTAAAGTCCGAATGGGAATGGGTGCATTGAATGAGCAGAGACAGAAAAATACAGCGAGAGGGTCCTCTGTCAGAATGTAAAAGAGGCATAGTCCCATCTTAATCATAACTCATTATAGTTGCAGTCTGTTCCTCACTGCGAAAGCGGACAAGTTTTGATGGTTGAAACAGACAATCATTAAGGATATATATTTTATATTACAATCCATTAACAAGTTGGTCCCATGGTCTAGTGGTCAGGACATTGGACTCTGAATCCAGTAACCCGAGTTCAAATCTCGGTGGGACCTTGATTTTCAGACATTTTTTTGTTAAACACATTCTATATATAGAGGGGTGTAATATTCATCATAAAGAAAATTTTGCTATGAAGAACATATTGATTCACTCTATAAATTTTCTAATCTCAGTTTCTCTTTTTTTAAAGTACGGCTGAAAGCACAACCATATATGATCTCTCTTGTTTTCTCGAGTTCCATTTATCACTCAAATTTATAAATAGAATCAAATTGATGGGCAGCTAAGATAAATAGGGGTTGTTCTCTCTCTCTCTCTCTCTCTCTCTCTCTATATATATATATATATATATAAACACAAGCTAAGAAATTATGGGTACTTGCAAATTACAAATGCAGAGAGACAGATGAAGGAAGGAAAGAGGAAAGCAGACTGAAAACAGGATTACAGGAACAAGAACATCTTTCGGCTACTGGGAAAATCTCCAATCTCAATTCTCTGAATCCAGTCTATCCAGAAATTTAAAAAGAACAAAAAAAACCCAATATGATTCTTTCTGCTGTTTGTTTCCTATAATATACATTCCATGAATGAAGCAGTAAAAGAACATCAACTACAAGAAACAAAATAATAATAATCATAATAGCAGTGCTGAACCCTGCGCTGTCTTACTTCTTTCCCAGGAAATCCAACAAAAAATTCCATGTTAATGTATAGAAAAAACAAGCATCTTCCCTCTCTCTCTCTGCGTTCCCCCCAAAAAAGCCACAAAAATGAAGACGAGAATGTACAGGGTAGGTAGCAATGAGCTAGCTAAGCTCCCAAAATGCGGAGCTTACTGTGTTATTAACAATGAATCTTCAACCACAATCAAATCTCGCTCATTGGTTCCGGGAATATCTCCTTAGACCGCCTCGTTGAAGACGAATTACCTCCTCCGCCCTCCCCAATTTGCCCGCTTCCCTGTGACCCCGAAGTTCCCGAGTGTTTGAACCCGCTCGTCCCTTCCGCCTTACTCGACGGGACAACTGGCACCGCCGCTACATCCGAAGAGCTCTGCCGCCAGCTGCCAAACAGACCGGCATTCCACGACCCTCTAGACGAGGTCGCTTTAAGCCTGGCGGACCCCGTGTGGTCTTCCCTTACAACCTTCAACGGATTCTCCAAAGCTTTAAGGATATATCTCATTAAAGGCCGCCTCGAAGGTTTGGGGTTGAGGCAAGATCTCGCCACGATAGCCATCGCCCATACTTCCTCCAATAGATCCTCGTCTATGATCAGAGAAGGATCCACGATTTTCGTCACCAACTCTTTATCGTATATACTGATGTATGGCAATGTTCGGTCCAACCATTCCTTCATACTCGAATCATCTGACGCACTGAAACCTATCCTGCCAGTTACCAGTTCAAGCAAGACTTTCCCAAAACAATACACATCATAGCTACATATTGTTGGATGTGATCCTGACCATTCAGAAGAGAAACAATTAGGAAGAATAAAATCCTCACCATAGATCTAACGGGAAAAGATATTCGTGGATTTCAGGAGTTTAAGGTAGGATGTAAAAACATACCTGAAGACGCTTGATCTGATGTTCTGCATCATACAACAAAGAAAATAGTTTTGTCATTTGAGAGTAAAATAATGTTTTTGCACCACAATCATCTAAAAGTGACGATATTACTTTGTACCCCCAAAAAAAAAAAAAAAGGCGATATTACTTACTGTTGTAGCCGCAGAAACCTGGAAAACCTATTGTGAGGAGTATCTGCTTCTTGTGTACAAACTTCACTTAGGCTCCCTAACCGCACTTCAAATTTATCATCAAGGAGTACGCTACTGGATTGAACATCTCTGTGGAAAAACAGTGAATTAATAAATCTTCGATTCGAGGGGTTTGGATTCGAAACATTACAAGATGCTGTAATATTTATTAAACACTATAACACCCTTCTCGGTGAATTGAGTATTTACGTCAATAGCAACCGGGGCCCACATATCACGACATCAAAATCAAATCCCAGATCCTAATCTCTATCATCAAAATCTAAGGTTGTGTCTAAAATGTTTTATGTGTTTATTACCCATAAACAAACCAAGAAAACGAAAAATCATTAACACAACACAAACCAGAGATGTAAACAAATGGTAACACAAGGAACACATAAAAGGATAGCCAATTTAATACTTCAACAAATAAACATAGCTAAAGGACATATTGCCTAATGGAGCCCCGAAAATCCTACATTAATCAAGTAAACATGGTACAACTGGCAATAACTGTCTATGGATAAGATATATACGTATAATATACTAGGTAGTCTCATACCTGTGCACAAGGGCCGGTGAACATTCATGATGAAGATAAGACAGGACTTCAGCAGCTCCAATTGCGATTTTCAGTCGTGTTATCCAATCCAGTGACTGTAAACTATCATCATCCGAATCGTTTTTCTTAAATAAGGAACTCGATAGGTCTCCGTTTGGCATGTATTTGTAAACCAGAAACTTCTGGTTCTCGTTCTCCAAGCAATGGCCTAAAAGGGGGACTATTCTGGGATGAGAAACCTTGCTGAAAAACTCCAACTCTAACGTGTATGTCTCCTTCTTCACTGACTGCAAATCGATTCTTTTGATGACTACAGGGATTCCGCCTTCTAACAAGCCTCGGAAGAGATCGCCAGAGTGTCCATGCTTAATGAAGTTTTCGTCGTTGAAATCACCGGTGGCTTGAAGAATCTGCTGAAATGTAAACGAATCTCCTAAGCTTGACAAGTTTAAGGATAGCCCGGGAGGAGGAGGGGTCGAGCCTGTAGGAACGGGTCCCACCCCAGTGCCTCGTTGATTCGGCGTACTCCTCTTGCGTCTGCATATCATCATCGTCAGAAGTAAAATTCCCAAAAGGGCAATTAATCCAACACCACCCAGCACGCCCGCCAAAATAATTACATTTCTACGGCTCTTCTTGGATCTCGGAGGTGGAGGTGGAGGAGGAGGAGGCTCGGTGGCATTTGGCTGCCCAGTATCGAATTTTAGCCCCCTCCCAGTGTAGAACGAATCACATTCACCGAAAAGCCTTTGACTTGACACATTTTGGAGGCAGTTTGTGCTTAGAGACACATTGCTATGAACATAATCAGGAACTTTACCTTCGAAATAGTTACCAGATAGATCAAGAAAACTGAACCTCAGAATCGCAGTGGTAAGATATCCGTAAAATGTATTCTGGGAAAGGTTAAACACAGCAGTGGTAGTAGCAATAGCATTTGAAGTGAGATTAGGCAGACTTCCCGTAAAATTATTCACAGAGGCATCAAGAAACTGCAATTCAGGCATCGACCACAATGCATCGGGAAAATCACCAGAGAAATTATTATGACCCAAGGCCAAGAACTGCAACTGAGTTAGAGGAGCGAATAAATTAGCAGGCAAAAACCCAGACAGCATATTGTTCTCCATAACCAATCTCCGCAAGCTCCTTAAGCCGCTTAAATCTGGGGGCACATTCCCAGCCAGAGAATTGAAGCTGAGATCAAGATCAGTCAGACTAGAAAGATCACCAAGTTGGGGAGGTATCGAAGAAGACAAATTATTCCCAGACAGATTCAAGAATTTCAACCTGGATAAAGTCCCAATGCCTAGAGGAATCGACCCAAACAAGGAATTCACAGACAAGTCAAGCAAAGTAAGGCTCCCGAGAGACCCAAACGACTGAGGAATCGAGCCATTAAGCGCATTATGTGAAAGGTTAAGAACAGAAAGACTGGATAATTGACCCAAACTTAAAGGAATCACCCCAGTGAGGCCATTGTGTGACAAATGAAGCTGAGTTAAACTACTCAAGTTCCCAAGGGAGGTGGGTAAAGAACCTATAATCGAACAGGAAGTAAGATCAAGAACTCGAAGAGAACTCATCCTAAGGCCAAACCACCCCGGGATAGACCCAGGAAGCATGAAAAAGGAGGCATTGAAATATGTCAATCGACTAAAATTCTGCAGAGAATCCACTGAGAATCGAGGGTTTTTACTTCCAATTCGGGTGCGCTTAAACCCGGAGATATTGATCCCAACCACTCTACCATTCCTACAATTCACCCCAACCCATCCCAAGCAAGGGTCAGCCTTTATAGGCCACTGTTTGGCCCTCAGCCCTAAAGATGATCTCAATTGCAGCAAACCCAATCTCTCCGCCTTTGAATTCAACAACAACTGTTCAAATGTAGAGTCAACCAGCAACAAAAACACCACCACCGCCAAACACGGCGCCGCCACTCTCCACTGTCGCGCCACCATTCTCATCCCACCTTCAAAATTCTCCGCCCTCCGTCACATTCATATACAAGTGTGTGTATGCGTGTAGATAATGATGTATATATACACACACACACAGAGATGCGAGCCTGTGTGTGTATCTATATAAATAAATAAGAGAAGTAAAATTAGGGATTCTCAGCTTACAGAAAGAATACGCATTTGTTTATATGTATCTGTAGCTTACCTTTGAGAAATGAGAATGAATCAGAAGCTCTGATTTGGTTCTTGTTCTTGAAAAAAG